ACGTCATATGGAGTCTATGAACGCAGTACCCAAGAAGGAGGAACGGCCGGCCTACACACCCTCACTCAGTGGTAAACATTCGTCAACTGGTCTAACTTCCGGCTGCACTATTCAAAGGTCTATGCAAGATGGGTACAAAAAAGCTCACAGCAGACCACCAGCAGCAGCGGGCGTCCATGCACGGCGTCAGTTTGGCCATTTTCAAAGTCCCTGACTCATCTACGCACTATCCCGGAGCTCATACACTCTTCTCCATACACTTGACGAAGTTTTTCGTGAATTTCTCTCATTTATTTTATCTCAGCTGCCAAGAAACGTGTAACAGACCGCAACTCGCAGCTGGCGGGAGACGCAAGAGAAAGCACAACCACTGACGCCCTCTGGGGCAAGATCAAGCGTCGCAGGGAGGCTGGCTGGTAAGGGATTAGAGTCGGGGAATCAAACAGCCTGCCTCATGACCTAGCCGCGCATAGAAATGATTCTAGCGCCAGCGGCAGCCTGTGGAACTTATTACGGCAGCGGCAGCCTGTGGAAACTTAGCCTGTGGAATAGGTATTCTCGCGGTTATAGGTTGGTATGAACTTATTTCTGTGATCTCTATCAGGTTTTTGTTCTCAGTCATACCTTCAGTGGAGACAATAGCGCGCAACCGCCAATTTCCTGGTTGCACCTCCTTCCCTGTGGAGACCTCTTGAACCTACCCCCCTCCCCCCCCCCCCCCCCGTCGACAAAAAAAGAACGGGGGAGCTATCGCGATGAACGATGTTACCATACAAATGCTGGAATTTCACCATGGCATAGTGGCAAAGCAGAGAGTTTCTTAGACTTTACCTCAAGTTCATTTTTGAATTTTATAAGTAGACCGTAAGACTAAGACCAGTAAAGTATCATGGATACCAGCCTACCAGGGTTATCATACATAAGAAATTGATTTAAATCTTGAGAAAATTAGGACATTAAAAATAACCTGATTCTAAAAAATCTCTGGTTTGCCAGTGCCACTATGCCGAAGAGAGGCAGTGCACGTCACCCAGTGAGAACATTGAATAATGTGTCAAAAGTTGATAGGCTAGTACACCTTGCTCTACCAAATTATGATAAACTGAATTTAATTTAGGTAATAAAATTAATGGCATCAAAATGTGCATGAAAGTTGATAGGGTAAACGCGGTATATTCCGACACATTAAGGACGCATCGAGAAATGAAAAACTATAAAAAAAACGTATGCGTTACGTAAGCTCTGTTGCCTTCACATGCAGGATGGAATTCTAAAATTTACAGTTCATATATTATTTTTGCTACACCTAGACCAGTTTTTCCATACAACATTATTTGAGGCAAAAAAATAAACTTATAGGCTTAAACACGTATAGGTAGAGGTATAAAAAGTTTCTATAAAGTGATCACTTAACTTGGAAATGTTGCGTGTCTGCAGGGCAGCTTGCACTCAACAATTAAAATTATAAAAAGTACTAGTTCATTAAAGATTTGTCTCTTAATGTGACAGCAAAGAACTTTTCCATGATGCACACAATAAACACGCAATTCATGGGACTGATGGGAGCAAGACTACACAGAAC